TCTTTCCCTCCCTCTTGCTCACATGCTGCCCCCCCTCCCTGCTGCACATGGTTCTAATTTGTTGAACAGCAGCAAGCTCAACATGGGTATAAAATGTGCCATTTATCCAGCAAAGAGGCTGCCAGGATGGAAAGGGAGCTTGTTTCATCTTAGTACAGACTCCCTTCCCTGAACCCTGTGACACTGTGGTGCCAGGGAGGCTTGGGGTTGGGGTGTGCCTTGAGGCTCCTTCTGTGGGGAAGTGACCCAGAGAGCACATGACAGAAGCACACAGGGACAGAGGGTGCCAGATTCGAGAGAGAAGGCATAGACGAGACCCCAGGACCTCAGCAATGACATTCTTGCCCCACCCCCAGCTTTGCCTCTGTTTGCCAGCATGTCCCCGCAGGGTCAGCTTCCATGCCCCTTTGCTCTATTTCCTCCTCCCTTTATTCCTTGTTTAGCCCTGAATAATCTTGCCCTGTTTCCATTCCTTTCCCGGAGAGTAGATTCTGGCTGCCTGCCTTTGGGCTCATAAGCAGCCCCTCCCAGTGGCCCAGAGCTGTGCTCTTGCTGTGCTCCAGGCACCTTTCCCATCTCCTCCCGCTCTGGGCACTTTATTCACCTTCTTTTAGAAAAGAAGCAAAGAAAGAGGTGGTGGGAGAGGAGGCTGACTCCTGGACATGACCCCGATCCTGGGCAGAGGCAGCATTGTCCACAGCAGGGGCACTATGTTCTGCCCAACACATTCCAGACCAATGCCCCTTGTTCCTCTGGCCCAGGGGAGCTCTTCTCTCAGGGACCTCGCAGACATCTTGAATGAGAAGCCAGCTGTCCTGGGGCTGGGTCTGCTGTATCGGAGCAAGTGTGTCCCTGCCAGTGCGGTGGCTAGGAGCATTGGGGGGGAGTGAGGGAGCAGAAAGTACAATACCAGACTTGCCTAGGCTAAGAGAGTAGTAGTTCAGGGGGTTACAGGGCACAAGCAAACAGGAAGGGCCACTGGGGTCCAGCTTGTGTTTTGGAATGGATGGGACATGAGCCCATCCCAACAAGCCTTCCTCAGGGCTGTGTTCCTTGGAGGTGCTCAGAAACGTGTCCTGGGCAGTGGGGACTGGCGTGTCCCTGGCTTGGGGTGAGAGGTAGAGCTGGGCTTGCTCAGCGCTGACATGCTTTAGGACCCCACCTGTTTTGTTTACAGATGGATGGAAATTTCCTTTTCGTGTCCTTGTTCTTGGTAGTTAATGGTTAGCACCTTGGAGCAGGGGCAGGTTCAGGGCCTGGAAGGCCCCAGAGCTATGCCTATGCATGGAGCTAACTGTTGCCATCTGTCCTCCAGGCCTGTTTTCATTAACGGGCTATATCAGTGCTGCCATGACAGGGACTTTGGGGACCTTGCTGCTGGCAGAGATTCCATTCCCTTCTCTCCCAGCCTGTGCACATGTACACATCCCCTGCGTGTGAACTTGCCATGCCCACCTTGCCACTCTTCAGCTGAACACAGAATCACACAGCAGGAGCCTGCTTGCTGGCACAATCCTAGATGGGCGAGAAACTTAATAGTTTGAGACGACTGGGAGATTTAAACTAGCAGGAGACCAGCAATGCGTTCCAACAGCTGTTCTGTGAAGAAGGTCAAGGAGGATGGCCTGCATCTAGCTGTCCTCCTCAGGGCCAAGCATGCCAGTAACCCATCTCCACCCCCCATAGCTGAAGGCTGCTTCACAGTTTGCTAGAATGTCACCCAGCTTTGCTGTAATGTAACCTATGCTCAGTAGAACAGGCCAGAGAAGTAGAAGTCCCAGTTTACAACGTGAGCAGGCTGCCAGGGTTGGAGAGGTTGGGGTGCCTGCACGGGCCTGTTATTGTGCATTAAAGAAGAAAGTGGCTCTGAACCCCAAGGCTGTTGACCACATGTCAGGCAGTGCTGGAGGATGCTTCCTGATGTGTAGATCTCTGTTTCTTGCTCGCTACACGAATGCAGCCATGGGGTCAGGTCATCTGGCTGGCAGCAGGACAGACACTTGTCTTTAGAACTGTATAAACAGCGCTTCCTGCGTGGGGCTGTGCAGTCCAGCCTGGAAACGTTTACACCCCAAGCATACCTGCTTGCTCCTCATTTAGAACACTTTAGTTTTTGTGCAGGTAGTTTAGTGCAGGCACACGCTGTTCCCTGCAGCTCCTGTGTGTGCGTGTGTGTGCCCACATTCCTGAACCGAGTTGCTGTGCAATTCCAAGCCTAGCTTGTTTTCCTGCAAGGTGGGGGGAGCACTTGGTAGTTCTGTCTGCAGCAGGAGGCGATTCTGTGCAATACCTGTCTCTTGTCTCCTAGACGCTGTGTTTGGACTGTATTTTTGTAATTCTGTTAGGATGCCAGTTCTGGCAGACTGATTGCCTGGGCAGTGGCCTGCACTCTGGTTGCTTTTCATTTTTGATGGTTTGGATGTTGTTCTTTTTTTGCCATTGAAATAAAAAGGACGTTTTACTTCATGTCTCTCCTCTTAGTCCACAAGGATGAGGGGTGCATTGGGCACAATCTGGCCAATATTGTGGGTGAGGCCAAGGTGCTCCTCTGTAATATGCTTCTGTCTCAAGCTCTAGTTTTTAGTTTGGGAGATGCTGGGATCTTCTCTACTGGGTCACATCCTTGGTCCACTTTTGCACGCTGGAGCCACCCTTAGTGCACTGAGGAGCCTTTCCCATCCACATAGATAGTAGACCCATGAACTGATAGTGCAGTGTTACATGAAGCAGGGAGAAGTCCCCTGCTCTCTCAGATGGTCAACAGACATGTGAAAGCAGTGTCTTTCGCTCCCTACAAGCTGCATCCTTTTGGCATAGGCATTCTTTTGTTCTTCTGCTCGGAGGCAGTTGTGGCC